ATTCATATTACTAGAGCACATTGGTATTGAAGGAACTAGATACTGTTCCGAAATATCACTTACTCGAACGGTCCTGACCGCATAGCTCAGCTGGAAGAGCATTGGGCTAGTATTCCAAAGGTCGTAGGTTCGAATCCCACCGTGGCCGGGCATATTTTTCAAGCTCGCCCGGTGTGGATATGCACTCAGAGTAACATCACAAACATATTATTCACCTGAGTACACAACACCAGCACAGAAAAAATTCATATTACAAGAACACATTGGTATTGAAGGAACCAGATACTGTTCCGAAATATCACTTACTCGAACCGTCCTGACCGCGTAGCTCAGTTGGAAGAGCATTGGGCTAGTATTCCAAAGGTCGTAGGTTCGAATCCCACCGTGGCCGGGCATTTTTTTCAAGCTCGCCCGGTGTGGATATGCACTCAGAGTAACATCGCAAAACATATTATTCACCTGAGTACACAACACCAACACAGAAAAATTCATATTACTACAACATATTGGTATTGAAGGAACTAGATACTGTTCCGAAATATCACTTACTCGAACCGTCCTCACCGCGTAGCTCAGTTGGAAGAGCATTGGGCTAGTATTCCAAAGGTCGTAGGTTCGAATCCCACCGTGGCCGGGCATATTTGTCAAGCTCGCCCGGTGTGGATATGCAATCAGAGTAACATCGGAAACATATTATTCACCTGAGTACACAACACCAACACAGAAAAATTCATATTACTAGAGCACATTGGTATTGAAGGAACTAGATACTGTTCCGAAATATCACTTACTCGAACGGTCCTGACCGCGTAGCTGAGCTGGAAGAGCATTGGGCTAGTATTCCAAAGGTCGTAGGTTCGAATCCCACTGTGGCCGGGCATATTTTTCAAGCTCTCCCGGTGTGGATATGCAATCAGAGTAACATCGGAAACATATTATTCACCTGAGTACACAACACCAACACAGAAAACTTCATATTACTAGAACACATTGGTATTGAAGGAACTAGATACTGTTCCGAAATATCACTTACTCGAACCGTCCTGACAGCGTAGCTCAGTTGGAAGAGCATTGGGCTAGTATTCCAAAGGTCGTAGGTTCGAATCCCACCGTGGCCGGGCATATTTTTCAAGCTCGCCCGGTGTGGATATGCACTCAGAGTAACATCGCAAACATATTATTCACCTGAGTACACAACACCAACACAGAAAAATTCATATTACTAGAACACATTGGTATTAAAGGAACTAGATACTGTTCCGAAATATCACTTACTCGAACCGTCCTGACCGCGTAGCTCAGTTGGAAGAGCATTGGGCTAGTATTCCAAAGGTCGTAGGTTCGAATCCCACCGTGGCCGGGCATATTTTTTCAAGCTCGCCCGGTGTGGATATGCACTCAGAGTAACATCACAAACATATTATTCACCTGAGTACACAACACCAACACAGAAAAAAATCATATTACAAGAATACATTGGTATTGAAGGAACTAGATACTGTTCCGAAATATCACTTACTCGAACCGTCCTGACCGCGTAGCTCAGTTGGGAGAGCATTGGGCTAGTATTCCAAAGGTCGTAGGTTCGAATCCCACCGTGGCCGGGCATAATTTTCAAGCTCGCCCGGTGTGGATATGCACTCAGAGTAACATCGCAAACATATTATTCACCTGAGTACACAACACCAACACAGAAAAATTCAATAAAATATTATTAATATTTCTAACTAATAATTATTACTAATTATTAGTAAATATTTATTATTTATGTTGCTCTATTAGTCAATTAGCCAAGCCGGACTACAAGATTCAAATGCTAATGGGCCAATTGCACAATGCAGATTAAAAGAGTGACTAACAGACTAAACAGTGATGGTGCGACCATAGTTCGGGGTTTCAATCTGAAATATCCTGTGACACTTTTATAAAACTTGGTGGTCAACTCCAAAAGGAAACACATTGAGTTCATTATTCATAACAGTATATTAATTCACCTTGTATTCAATAAGCAAGTACAGAACATTTAACAAAATTTGCTCGCTTCCACAAGGCATATAAGCGACAAACGTGCAAAGTTGACCCACCATGTGTTTTCGTATGAATATGTCACCAATAAATACTATGCCACATGTGGGCTATATTTTCCCTTTGGAAAATAAAAACACGTTGGCTACGGTATATATACTGTAATAATGTTTATGAGTTAAAATGATTTTTAAATATTAAACCCCATACCTATCTTTAAATCTCCATTTGTAATGACTTGGTTATTTCCACAATGCACCATTAAATTTTGTAATGACGTGTTTATTGCGTTTATATTGTTTATATTAAGTTTACCGCACTTGAAATACCGCTGACTTGTATGTATTGCAGTTTCAGATTTGTACGTATCTTGTCTATGATATAGTGCTCACCCCACTTGATGGTAATGGACAGCCATCCTTCCAGACCTCAACATCAGAAGACTGGTTCTCTACACCATGTGCGTCAACAAGAATCAACGTCAGAGGGAGCTTGTTTTCTGAATTTGAATCATTGGATTTGATCTCGCCTCCTTTGTCTGACACGAGAACTGTCTCCACTTCGCTATCCTTGCTTGAACCATCAGGAACAGATCGGTGCTTGCTTTCTACGTCAGGCAGAATCTGCACTTCTTTATTATGAGGTTCTGTTGAGGTTGGGAGGGAGACATCGACTGTTGCCTCGTTGCCACCATGAACCGACGTCGTAGGAATATATGTATTTGAAGGAACAGCAGGTTTGTGTTCGCCTCCTGTGTCATGGTGAGATGCTTCCAGTGTTTGGAGAGAGACATCGACTGTTGTTTCTTTTGAAGGTTCCCCATCAGGCATTGCATGTGAAGTACTTTTCTCAACTTTTGGCAAGTCAAGGTCTTTGTTTCTAGGATCGCTTATTTCACCAGCAATGTCATGTGGAGAATCGTGCACTGAAGTTGTGTCTTCATTTTCAGAAATATTTACATCGTTCATATTAACTTCAGTCTTGCTCGGAACAGCACCACGATGATTACCTAAACGTGAATAAAGGAATATAAATCATTACAAAAATTAAAAGAAATATTTAGTATTGTTTTTGCTATGAACTGGAAAACATTTTATTCCTTGTATACGCGGAGTCGCTAATCAAAAGCTCTGTAGCACTAATTAACACTAATTGTTTGCGCGCGCGAATGAAATCGCGATGGAGTTAATAATGAGACGGTTGCATAGCAACAGGAAAACTAATTATCTTGCGCATGAAACGCGAAACAGAAAGCAGTGAAACTGTTGAACATTAATTATAATAAAATAGTTTTAGGTCATAATGTAATTCTTACCTGTGTTCTCTTCATCGCCGAGCAACGTTTTAAGCTTTGCAACGCGAGCTTTAGTGTCATTCAAATTTTTCTCGGCCGCCTCAACTATACCATCGAGAGTTGTTTGCTCTCCATAGATACCAAACTTTAATAATTCCTGGACTGTCTCTTCCTCGGCCTCTTCGCAATCGAAATCCTCGTGATACTCAAATTCAGCCATATTTTTTATATCTATCACAAAAAAGATTTGGAAAATTTCCGCGAGACTGAAATACAACAAGTGCGCAATTTCAGTCAATCAATTATGACAAACTACTTTATGACATCACAGTGTTTTTATACCTCGCGCAAGAACAAGGGATTGTGGGATGTCAATTAGGACGCTGTTTCTGACGTCATTTAATGAAAGCGCAATAAAAACTTGCGTAAAACCGGTTTTTCACTGGAAAACTTGTAGTTTGCGTGTTTAAAAGTTTCAACCAAGGATCGTTCGCATGAGACAAAATTGAAAGAAATAATTATATTTTAAAGTCCCAGTTCATTTGGGTCTGTTTGACGGCAAAGCACAAAATAAACATACTTCAGTTAAAAAAATATGGTAGAAGAAATATAGTTAAATATAGTTTTGAACTACGCCTAAAATTCCTGTTTTGCCCAAATTAAAAAAGTTATATTGCAAAGTTACTATGCAATATGCATGGCTACGTGTACACTATATATACTATCCTGCATATCCGATACGGAATGTACAACTTCAGAAGCTGAGCGATCCAACATCTCTCCGTCGCAATAATTCCTCTGAATATAGCGGTTCTAAAGTGTAGGGATACAGTAGGTGTTTTTTCACGTCGCTACGGAAAGCTATTCGGTACAGTGTAAATGTAGTCTAAACGTCCGGCAGTCCGGCGGACAATGTTTTGGAAAAACTAAATGTCCGGTGGGATTTATACTCCGAATTGAAGTGAAATTTTATAAGATAAACCAATCTCAAACCTAACCCTAGAAATTTAATATTAGCAGGAAGACGTTGACAACATTGCACGAAAACTAACTCATATTGATCCTGTCTCTTGCCAATGTTCACAAGGGGTGAGAGCACCCTGCGAAATTCGCCAATTTGATAATTTACTCTTAAACGTAAATTTTACACAATATTCTTCTCCAAAACAACTCTCCAAAATGGCTGTAATTGCCATCCGAGAACTACTCAGCTAGGACCCCCTATAGGTGAGCGGTGCGTGGGTACCTTGGTATACTCCAAATTTTGTTGGAAACCCTGCATGCATGGGGACGTTCTAGTTTCCTTTTACAACCTTATGTCGATACTTGGCCTCATGTTGCAGGCTGTCTTCCCCTCGACGTCATTGTATTGATCTTTCAAGTTCCTGCAGCTATATAGTAATGTTGGCACTTAGCGCTAAGTGAATAATAATAATATCGCAATATCTTGGCGTTTCAGGAAAGTTTCCATGGTCGGGAAACTAATTGTGTTTGCTTTCTCGGAACTTTAGAAAGAAGGAAAGAA